CATGGGTTAAGAGAAATAATCTTGTTGATTTTTCTGACCCAATTTTTCATGTTTTAAATGTAAACTTCATTTTGATCTATATTTCTGAAAACAAGATTTATAAATAGTCATTTTGCAGTAAATAATTCTTGATTTAAGGATGTTTAGATATTTGTACTAGAAAAGATCAAATACAAAATAATAATAATAAGTAAGTGTGCTTGTTATTTTCGGTTTTGCTTAATTTTGATGAATGATTTACATGATATGATCTTAACTAAATGTTTATTTTTTATGTTGTTTCTAGGATTATTACACAGTAAGCTGATTTGCCACTGTTGTCATATCCTGTCAGACAGAAATGAGAAGTCTGTATTGAAGGACCAACGAATTTCCTTATTTCCTCTGAAACGCTGAAGACTGATGAACGCTCGGAGATGTTTGCGCTCCTGCTCGTCTGCGGGATCCTGTTTGCTCAAGCTCAGGGTGAGAAAATCAGCACTTACCGATCAAAAATTACTGATGAGATCTAGTTCATTTTTTGTAACCTTTAAATAACATTTTAATTACGACTGGAAAACTGGACATTTGAACGTTTTAGAAACATTTTAAACAACGTTTCCACAATGTTCCAAAAATATGTTTCAAGAATATTTTCCTTAAGTTCCCGTTAAGTTATGAAAACATTATTTGTGACTGTTCCCTGAACTTAAATGTATTAAAAAAAAATTCTTCCATTTTATCATTTTGTGAATGTTACTTTTAAAAGTTCTCTGAGCATTCTGAAATGAGAAGTAACATTAGACAAAAAATGGCCACAAACAGCATGTAGCCTATATATATAATGTTTTTGTGCTAACATTTTGAGAACATTAGCTTACTAAAAGACCAGAGAACTTTGAAAGAACATTCCTCATTAGCTGGGTAGTGACTCATTTGCGTCTGATTTTAATTCTTTAAAGAGAAACATCTGAGACAAATTTATTCGTAAATGATACGTAACACTCTATGAAATCATCAGAAGTATGAGTCTATGGTTCTTGATCTGGTTCTTGTCTGCATCTCTGCAGACGTTTGCTTCTCTGCATTTCTGAAATCGGTTCTGAGGCAGATTTCACATATTGACTTTTGTCCCACAAGTTCAGAAAATGATTACAGTGATAATGGTGCTGATATTAATGTTGAATTATTATTCAGTATA